TATTAAACCAAAAAGGAAAGCCCGCCTATAGCAATGGGTGAAGTCGTTCAAGAAAATGTTGATAAAATCAAAACTTAAAAATTAGACATTCAAAGGCGATTTATCAGCTGACTATTTGGCCAAATATAAGTCAACATATATAATTATTTCCTAATTCTTTCACACTAAATCTACTCCAATATTAATGTAGGGTGATTATCTCTAAAACAAGAAATTTTAATTAATTAAATTCTTGACTTCAATTCCTCTTGAAAATGTCTGTTTCAAGTTAGAAAAATATCAATATAGAAACCAGAAGTTTTAATTGTGGGATAGGAGGGGTGGGGTTCATAAGATGGAAGAGTAATATTATAACTTGCCTATTATTGTGTAGCCTAAAATTCAATGAATTTTTTTTTATCATAAAAAATCCTATGAAATCTTACGTACGTACCAAAAGAAGAACATTTATTTTTATGTTACACATTATATTATTAATTTTCATACAAATTTGAGGAGACAAATTCAATAAATATATATGATCTACAACTAATTAGAAAGCAAAGGTAATTAGTACATTTATTTAAATAATCATACAACAAATCAGGCCCAAATGCTTACAAAAGAATTCTTTATTTTGTTTACACAATTTCCAATCAAATATTTCTATAAAAGGTTTAACGCCCAAAGGTTATTTTGATTTTTTTTAGTTAGTGAAAAAAAGGAGGAATACTTTGCTCATGCCTGAAGAAATTCTGTGGATCAACATCGGCCTTCACACGAACTAACCTGCCAAAGTTGTTCAAGAAATACTTACGACCCCATACGCTAGCCTGAGCGAAACTTGTGTTTCCTTCATTATTCATTCCGATGTCAAGATCCCTATAATTGATATAGGCTTGCCTTGGAGATTTTGAAACAAAGGAACCCATGTAACTATAAAGTCTCCGAATCCAGCTTATATACCTTTCAGATATTATATTCTCTTCTTCTTGCCATCCTGCGTTGTATACGATTTTGTATAAGTTGCCAACTCTATGTGGGAATGGAGTAGCAGTCGATGGAATTTCATCCATTATGCCTCCGTAAGCAATAAAACTTATACTAGCGGATGCTCCTTCTTCTTCAAAAAGTCTTGACCACATCCCCTGAAATCCAATTTCAGGAATGGGTTTCTTCACATAATCAGATTTTGATTTGAAGGAAGGACTAAGAAGAGGACTTTGGTATGTCCTATCAAGCAAAATATTCAAGGTTTCGTTTGGAAGGTTGCCCATGTAGAGAATAGATTCAATCCAACTCATTTCAACGCAGTCTTCCCTCACTAGTCCCAGCTCAGGAAATCTCTCTTGCATCAATGGAACCAGCTCATCAATCCCACCAAGAAACGAGGCATGAAAGGAAGCTAGAATTGTTCTCTTCCCATCTTCACTAGAATTTACCCTTGTTAGAGTAATTCCAGAGTAAAATTCATCTGGAAGCTTGGGTGCAACGGATTGCCAACGATGAACAAGCTTGGTCGCATTTTGTTCCAAGGTCTTGTTGATTGTGAACACAGTCACAGTTGATGGAACGGAAACCAACTGTACTTTCCATGCAACCACAATTCCAAAGCTACCCCCACCACCACCTCGAATGGCCCAAAACAGATCTTCTCCCATGGATTTCCTGTCAAGAACTCTCCCGTCAACATCAACAAGTTGTGCATCAATTACATTGTCTATTGCAAGACCGTATTTGCGGAATAATAAGCCATAACCTCCTCCGCTCAAGTACCCTCCAATTCCAACAGTGGGGCAAAGACCAGCTGGAAAGGCAAGAGTGTTGCTTCTGTTAGCAATGTTGTGATACAGTTCTCCTAGAACCGCACCTGATTGAACCCATGCAACTTTGTTTTCTACATCAATGTCAACTGATCGTAGATTAACCATATCAACAATAACAAACGGGACTTCAGATACATAAGAAAGACCTTCAAAATCATGGCCACCGCTTCGAGTTCTAATTTGGAGCCCATGTTTTCTTGAACAATAAATTGTTGCTTGAATATGGGAAGCATGGAGCGGTGTTACAATAATCAAAGGTTTAGGGGTAGATGGTGTAGTGAATCTAAAATTTCGAATGGTAGCGTTCAAAACAGAAGAATAGGAAGAATTATTTTGTGTGAAGATAACTTTAGAAATAGAAGATGAGTCGTTGGAATGAAGAGAAAGGCAATCAAGAAAAGTCTCATCAGCATGAGCTGAGGTTGCCCACAACAATGAGAAGAGAGCAACAAAAAGAAATGATGAAGACGTTGAAAAGTGAAGAGACTTCATATTTTTGAAACTGATGGTTTTGTGCAGAGTTTGTGAAGAGTTCCCCTATTTATAGATTTACATGACAAGAGGGTAATGCTTTGAGCAGCAAAAATGCATTGGGATTGAAGTTTCTTCTAATTAGTTTGGGAAAGGGTAACATGTTGGTCTATATGTCATCACTTACGAAAATCTTCATTATAAGCAACGATGCCATTTGACGCACTCAAACTAAAATTACTTGACTTTTGTAATCAGATCGAATTGGTAAATAAAAAAATTCCCTATGGTTTTTTAGGCAGAAAAAGCATGTGAATAGAATCAAATTTAGCGACTCTTCTCGCAGCTTTTTCAACCGTCATAAATAAATAAATAATTTTGTGATTTTTTTTCTCTTTTTCAAAGAGGATAATAATTTGTTCTAATAAGATGACAATTTGGCCTAAATTGTCATTGAAAAATCTACATTTTACGGGATTCCAAATGGCATGGAAAGGGTAAAAGCTCCATGGGAACAAGCCCAAAGCTTTTTTACACAATAAATTGATGTTTTTATTTCATGTCACAATCTCTCTTACTTCATGTACAATCCGAAAAATCGAAATTAATTTAATGTTATCAAAATTAAGAACTTGATAAATTATGAGTGAAGGCAATACAATTGCTAAGCTATGCATTGATGGATCTAGAAAATTTTTTGAATGTTTATTTATAATATATATATATATATATAATCAATGAATTTATTAATTTTATAGATAGAAATGGTGGTTGGGGAAATTTTTTGGGGTATCTAGAAAAATTTTTTCTTACTCTTTGGAGATGATGAGAGAAATTTTTTGAGGGTGTCCAGCAAAAAAAAATTTAGATATATTTTTTCATCTTTGCGGGTGTTCATGAAAATCTTAAGTGTACATTTAGATATGCCCCTGAATAAATATGAAAAAATCTAAGTGCTTTTTTCTTTTTGGATTATTACTACAAGCGAAATTAAAATGCTTGATATATGTCCGTTTAGTTGCCATTTTAATTCATTACTCTTTCTATCTCATAAATATTATGACTTCATTTAATTTTAAATATATTATTAATTAAAATTTAATAATTTAAAATTTTCAAAAAACTTTAAATAAAAAGGTTTCAAATATAATTTTATAAAAAAGAGCTTAATATTTTAAATATAAATAACCAAAGTTGAAAAAGTTTAAGGTAAATTGTATGGAGTAATTTTATCTTTACGTGGATAAGCCAAAGGAGAAATTTCTCATAAGATTGAGCAAAAGTCCCCCATCTTATAAAATAATAATTAAGGAGATTACAATGAAAAAAAAAAGTTGTTATGATGAAATTAAGTCTTATTGCATGGACAATATATATAGTTGTTGTTAAAGTTATCTTATATCTAATAAGTTTTTAATATTTTGTAATCTTATATTTAGGTTCGACTCTTTCATTTATTATTAATTAATTTTAAGTTGAATAATTAACATGGTATTAAAATCAGAATTTTTTTTTCATTACTCTTTCTTAATTTGTCACGTGAAAAATTTTTTAATATCATAGTTTCATATTCAAGTTGAATTCTTCTACTTATTATCATTTGGTTTTAAATTGGATACTTTAATGTTGCTATTATTTTCAACCATTTCTAGAATTCTTGTTTTTAAGGTAATTGAAGTTTGAGCCTAGCTAGAACATAAAAGATTTGACTTTTTTTTTTTTTAGATTTCTTCTTGTTTTGCTATATATTTTGGCACAATAAAATTCAACAATTACCAGCGGTCCAACTTCAACATAATTCTAGGAATATAAATGTATTTGTTAGCATTGAAATATATATTTGTTGTGCTATAAGAAAAAAGTAAAATATTAGTAACAATATATGGAAAATCTAGTCCATCGATAGGGGCACACGTTAAGAAAATGCTTTCGCTCACATTAGCAGGTCTCTCATGAGTAGAGAAATTTTTTGCCCAACTTCTATATTTTCTTTCGAAACCTCCAATTTTCTCTTCTAACGGCTACGATTTTCTTGCCAAATAGCATGTTTCTTGTTGTTCTATCATTCCCTTATCTTAGCATTCGATCTTCATCATCGACAATAAAAAGGCGATCAGATTGTTGGTAATTGATGGATGCAAAGTAGGTATCAACTAGAGTTACCTCAGATCTTGGTGGGCCAACATCGAATGACCGAGACTGTGCTGAAACAAATCCTGGTAGTGCGCAGATGAATGTTGCAAAATGGAGGAGTCTGTTCTGAGCTTCTAATGATCAGTCTTTGCAGTTCTTTCCTCCTTAGATAGTGGATGGCAAAGTGCTTGTCAAACCACCGGGTGATGTTTTTTGAGGAGGGGAAGTATCAATGGCAAAACTCCTCGGTGGCACAGTCCATTGGTAAGGTTCCTAACTTCAGTCATTTTCAGAGATTGGTTAGCATGTTGTGGGGAAATGAGGAGCCGATTCTTATCGAACCAACAAGGAACAACCTATTCATATTACAATTTTCCCCTGAGCAAAATCGAGATAAAGTCCTTGAGTTAGGACCATTGCACATACAAAATAAGCTTATCATTGTGTGAAAATGGGAGCCAGGAATGAGAACTTTGTAGTTTAAAATGAATAGGCTGCTTGTTTGGATACACCTCAGTAATGTGCCATTGGAGCTTTACACAAAAAAAGAGGCTGAGCTGTACTGCTAGTGCCCTCAGCATTCCATTAAACATGGATAAAATAACAGCCAACTATGAAAAATTAACTTATGCTAAGATCTATGTGGAGATTGCGGCCAATGTGGATAGTCCGAGGTTCATTGATGTTATACTTCGAGATGGACCAATTGCTTCTATAACTGTGGAAATTCCTTGGATGCCTTCAAGTTGCCTTCATTGCAACATGTTTGGGCATACTGAAAAGGCTTGTCTGAACAAGTCAGTTGCTGTGGAGACAAAGGTGTGGCAGCCAAAGCAGCAAACGGCTGAACCAGACGAAGTGTTGGATAAAGAAGCAACAGAGATAGGAAAGTGGTTACTCCAAATAAAGGCAGGTTGCTGTAAACACAAGTGAGGCAGGACACAGTCTAATGTGCAAAAACAAACTGTGAAGTCAGGGTCAGTAAATAGGCATGCCATTTTGGACACATTGGATGATAAAGACAGAGGGCGTGATGTGGTATTGAATACTATTGAGTCTAGTATGCAGGAGATGAGAACAGAAGCATCTAGTTCACCAAAGAAGATAAGCGCTACCTCAGTTGGAGTTGCAAAGTGGATGAAGTAGTTAAAAGCTAAAAAGAAGGGTCATATAGACAAGGGAAAAATAAATTGGGTAAGGTGGACAACTTTGCCTAATGCTTCCTCCTCCTCCTTAACATGAATATACTAAGTTAGAATGTCAAAGGGCTTAATGCCCTTCTGAAGCAAAAAGAAATTATAAGTAGGATTAAAAGAATAAAAGCAGATATTGCTTGTTTGTTAGAAACTAGAATAAAACAGCAAAATATGCAACAAGCCCTTAATACTCAATTTGTTGGTTGGTCATTGTATCATAACTACGATGCTGCATACAATGGTTGAATTTGGCTTCTATGAAAGCCAGAGCTGAATGTTGAATTAGTTGATGCAACTGATCAAAACAATACATGGTACATATTTTATGATGCTCGAAATACCTTTCTCACTGCCATCTATGGGTACAATACTGAAGAGAACGGAGGAGACTATGGAAGAATTTAATCACAATTCAGAACACTCTTGCAAATTGTCCATGGATCCTAACTGGTGACTTCAATGTGATTGCTCATCCAAGAGAAATTTTTGACTATGATGGCTCTCAAGTTCCTAGTATCAGTACAAGAGAGTTTCAGGATTGTATCCGGAAGATTGAAGTGACAGTTCATCTATATGTTGAACCACTTTTCACTTGGGGTAACCATACACGTTCAAGAAAACTAGATAGAGTGTTGATCAACTATACATGGCTTATTCAAATGTCAAATTTAGTTGTCGAATTCCTCTTACCGGAAGTTTCTAATCATTATCCAGCTTTGATTAAGATGAACATGCCCAGGCAGTCACCATCAAAACCTTCTAAACTTTTTAACTTTTGGACTAAGCACCCTCAATTTATGAGATTGGTGGAGAAGTTTTAGAGTTTGCTAGTAGGTGGAAACCCTAGAGTTGTGTTGCATAAAAAGTTAAAAAGATTAAAACCTGTTTTGAAAGGATTTAATTTTTCCCAATTTGGTAATATAGCAGAGAGAGTAAAAAAGAAGAGGGAAGAACTTGTGACTGTCCAAATTGTTGCTTTAATTCAACCTTCATTAGCCAGGAATGGAGAGGAAATTGTCGCTAGAGTTGCATGAGCTTTCGGCCGTAGAAAAAAGCCTTTGGAGGCAGAAGTCTAAATTTCAATGGATCTAGGAAGGTGATCAGAACACAGGGTTTTTTTCATAAAACAGTGGTGGCAAGGTAGAAGAGGAGTACAATCAGAGTGTTGCATGACAAGGATGGGAAAAGGCTGGATAATTTCATGCAAATATCAGAAGAAGTTGTGGGGTGTGTTAGAGATTTGTTGGGAACAGTTGATGCTAATGTTCAGGGCTGCACACAGGAGCTGTTGGTTGACATAATCCGAATGTTCTTGACTAACGAATAAAAGTCTGTATTAGTAAGAGATGTGACGAAAGAAATTAAAGAAACAATCTTCTCATAGCACAGTGAAAAGACACTGAGACCTAGTGGCTATAGTGCCCTTTTTTAAAAGAAGCGTGGAACATAGTGAGGTATGAAGTTCTTCAAGCTATATTATACTTTTTCCAAACTAATAGCTTACTGCCTGCTTCCATTTCCACAATCATAGCTTTAGTGCCAAAGTGCCAATCTCAACCAATATTTTGGATTACAGGCGTATATCTTGTTGCTTTGTCATATACAAAAGTATTACGAAGATTTTGGCAACTAGGATGTAGCAGTTTCTACCTGCTCTTAGTAGTAGAAGTCAGAGTGCCTTTTTAAGGGGGAGAAGCATAATTGATAATATGCTTATGGCAGAAAAGCTGGTGAAAGGATATGATAAAAGTACTCTTTCACCTAGATGTGCAGTTAAAACTTACAAAATATTGAATGGGGTTATTTAAGGTATTTTTAGTTAAAAATACCTTTAATAATCCATGATTTTTTTTTATTATTATTCAAGGCATTTTTATCTAGAAAACACCTTAAATATTCCATTAAAGAAAATTGAAGGCATTTTTTTTTTGTAAAATCCCTTCACTAATCATTTTTTAAATTCATTCTCCTATCTTGAACTTTAGAATCCTAAACTGCTATTACAAAGAACGATTAAAAGTTGCATTGTAACCAAACCCCCTAAACCCATTTAGTTTACCTTTTGGTTTCTTCATCTCTCTTGTCGCCGTCAACCTTCAGCAACTCAATGCCACGCACCTTTTTTTTTTATGGATATGTCGTTATTTTATTTGTTTTTTGTATTATTTATATTCTTCGATATAGGTATATTTTTGGCCGTTCCTTACTATATATATATTTTTTATTCATTTCACCATCACCTTAATCGTCCAATCACCTTTCATTGCATGTATAGTATTTCTATGTAGTTTGGTTTAAATATTACAGTTTACTGAATGGTATTATGAAAATTGTGTATCTTTTTTACTCATCATTTGTTTTGAATAAAACTTTTATTTAAGGTGGGAATCACAATATGGCTTGTAATCGTAAAATATTATTGGTTTGAGGATGTTTTACATATATTGATTTAGTAACTATAGAATGATATTGGTTGTATTTTATTACGTACTGTATAAAATTTAGAGAGACAATTTGGTGTATTTCATATAATTATAATCAAAATCGCAGGTATTATAAAATCTAAAGAACATACTTCTCTTGTTACTGAACATGAAGAAGATACACCTGTAGTGAAAAAAAGAAAAGCAAAGGGACGAAATAAACAAATTAAAGTGACTGACATGAAAAATTCAAGTCAAATTCAATCAAAGTGGGCAACTTGTGTCTGATGGAGGTGCCAAGTTGGCTGGTCATATTGGAGCAGTCATCTGTAATAGCACTTCTATTACATACCATAATTGACAACAAGTTCCTAATGATCTAAATGATTGTATATAAGAATCGGTTGTGGTATGTTTATTCAACTATTTCATAAAATTTGTTAAATGATCATTTAATTAAAATTCAATGTGTTCATACTAATTGTATTACATTTTTTAAGAACGGTTCAACATCCCAATTGAGTGTAAAAAGCTTGTATTGTAATTGGCTAAGAAAGCATTCAGAGACTTTAAAATCAGATTGACAGCCTAATATATTTTATCGTTCATTGATCATGGTGTTGTGATTAGATGATTTTTGTTTGAGATCGACTATTAGAAGATTTTTTGGTACACATACCTATTAAAAAAATTGTTTATAAGATTTTATGTAATATATTCAATATCTTAATATGTGATTTATGTAATTTCTTTCTTTTCTAAAAAATCAAAGAACAATAAAAGAACATTCGAGCTAAACAAGTATATCTTCATCGAACATCAAGAAAGAGTTATGCAAATGTCAAATATGAGGTTGTAAGTATTCATACACTTTTTTTATACTCATAAATGAATATTTATGAACATTCATTTAATAGATTTTGATTTTTATATAGCAGTAATTTATTAAGAATTAGCTAGCTCTGGTACCAAAGTTTTTAAATGGGATATATGAAAACCAAGACATATGTGAAAAGATGGATTGTTTGTAAATGAAGCAACTAAAGAAATTGCTAAAAAGATTGTATGTATAACTGCTCATTATATCACGTATAATTGGCTTTGTGCTTGTATACATGACTCTATACTTGTATAGATTTGTTGTTACGGTCTATCTTATTATTATCTTTCAGGATAATTATGCTATTAAATTTAAATATGGTAAACTAGCAACCAACTATGACGAAGATCCCTTGTCTTTAGTATTAAGAGTGAAAAAAAGATATGGTCAAGTTCATGGGGTAGGTAAATTTATGTTACCATCAAAGTTCTTTAGTAATCAACCCAAAACCCCTCAAATGACGAATCATAATATGAAATAATCATTAAGCAACAACAACAAAGACTTGATGATCAAGAACAATGCATGAATGAACAATAGCAATGACTCGTAGCTTTGGAGGTGATGTTGGTAGCAATACAACCTAGCATGCATGTAGGCCAGTCGGATAGCATCATCCAGCTAAGATAAGCTTCCGTTGCAAGTCAAGAAAGAAACTCAACCTCTGGTACTAGTCATAAAGTATGATTTTCTTTATTCACTTAATATTTATTTGTTTATTATATTTATTGATTTGGTTTTAATATTTATATTTTATTATATATTGTAGTAGGATGTTGAGACTTAGAGTATGACCCTCGCTCAAGCTACCATTGATATGTTATCTAATTATTCACTTGATAATTTATTCGAAGAAAACTGCATTACCGTTGAGTTCGAAGAAGGTTATTTGATCATCCATCAGTTTCTTACATTGGTGGGGAGGATATTAAGGAATTTTGTAACCCAGATAAAATATCAGCTACTAATATTGTTACTTATATGAGGTTAGCTTATAAATTTAAATCTATAGAGTCAATATGTATTGATCTATATTACGATATATTACTAACTAATATTGTTGATTATTATCATACAACTTCCTATATAAAAAGATCAAGGTTAGACAAATGACTTACAGATTCAAATTTGTTGACTTGAATATATTAACGAGCAGAGTGACACTATCATTTTTCATGGTCGTCATATGACTCAATGCATGCAAAAATGGACTGATTATGATTTGCTCTGATATAATACTATATAAGTTATATTCATAGAAATAATTATTCCAACTTACCCGAATCTGAGATGATGCTTAATCTGAGTATATCATTCTTATTATTTTACAGTCGTCATTAGCAGCTTATTATGATTAATACCAATTCCTTTACACCATACTTATTTAATTCTGCTCAACCAACGACTAAGCCTAACCTCAATATTCAAAATTTTATAAAAAGATATTATATGTTATTATATTATCTTCTATTTCTTCAAAATTATTTTTATTTTTATATTAACTAATTTTTTCCTTTTCAATTTAGGGAAATGTCTGCAATTGATAAAAAAGCAAAGATAAATTGGATGTCATTATTGATAAATGTGAAATTTATTCTTTTTATGCTGAATTTGTTTAGATAAATATTTTTTAAACCCACTAAATTTATTTTTCAGGAATCTCATTAACCAAGATATACTTAATGTTGATATTATATCCTTCATTTATGAGAGAGATAGTTTTATATGATTTTATAACCACATCATTCATAGTTAGTATTAATTTCATAAAATCATTATATCTTTCCAATAAAAAAGCTAAATTATGTTCTCGTTTATTGATATTTACTTCTGATTTTTTTTAGTAAGAGAGTAAAAAAAACTTCACGATAGACGAACTTTATGAAGTCTATAAAGAATAGTTGAGTATGTATTATCATTTACTAAACATTGAGGTTGGAGATTATTGGTTAGGTGTAAATATATGCATTTCATTTTTTATAATGTTTTTCACATGCCATGTTGAATGGATAATATAAGTTTCTAGATTGGGGCATTGGTTTAATATTATTGGTATATATTTATTTTATATCAATTGACAGCTTATATGAATACACATATATTGAGTACAATTATTTGAAAGAAGTATATTTATATGGTAACGTTATCGATTTTAAATTCGAATGTATAGTCAATTTATTGAAATACCATAATGTTCATAATGTAAATTTTAAAATGTAATTCATAATATCACATATATAAACCAAATATTTCTGGGCATAAACCTACAATTAACTTCCATAAACGCCTTCAATAATCACCTCTCATTTTTTTTTTAGGGATTATTAAAGGCGTTTTTATCAAAAAATGCCTTGAAATAATCCCTTAAAAAAATTGAATATTTATATGATATATTTATATGAATATAAATACTACTATATATGTAGTTTATTTATAATTTTACTTTCAATCTAAAATGATTTTAAAATTTTATGAAACCATATTAAAACTAAAATATTAATTGAAGGCGTTTATGGCC